AAAAAAAAAAAAAAAAAAAAACACTGCGCTGGCGTTCGGCACTTCTTCAGTGTGAATCTGGCTCGGCAAAAAGAGGCTCGGAAATGCTGGTAGTTTAACGAGAAGAAGAAGAATGATGGAAACAGCGGCCAACTGCCTTTCGCACACGCTTCAAAAGATCATCAATACATAACAGCGCATACTCATCTCAGCACACGCGCACATTCCCCGACGCGTTTCGATCAGTTGCGCTCCGATCATCCTCAGGGGGCTATCCACACACCCACGCCTTGCGGCCCACCGCACTAACCTTCCTTCTGAGAACTGAGGGCCGATCAGGCCTTGCCCTCCTATATACTGCACGCCAAGTGAGCCGCTGCGTCAGCACGGTACTTCCGCCCCTAACGGGCACTTCCACGAGCTACTACGGCTACGGCTGGACTGCCACATAGACGTTGCGACGACTGCTGTAATGCCCGTTACGTAAGAAAATTCGGCGCGACGACTATGCCTGTGAGCCAGCTATCCCTGCATGTTCACGTGTCGGGGTACCATGTGATGACCAACGTCTCTTTCCCAGTCACCAGTCCCTCGAACGATCAACTCTTCTTCAATCTTTCCTTCACTCATCTGCAATCTCCCATTGGCCTATTCATTCTGCCTTACTAATTTCCTATTGGACTAATCTGTACGATGCGGATCGTAGCTACTCCCCAGTACGTGGCATCTCGGTCCAGTCAGTTACACGTGTGTACGTACGTGACTTGTCCATTCAAAATCCGACGCGCCGTGACCTGTACAAAATTCAAAATTCCGACGTCAGCATTTCCCGCTCTTTGGGAAATGCGGAAAAGCCGGTAGTACTGTACCTGGGCTGTCGTGGCCTCGCCACGTAAATCCTAGGGCAGAACGGAATTAATTTACAGGGGCTCCTAAATAATATTCCGAGAAAAGTGCGGGTCGCCCGGTAGTACCGAAGCAGTGCTAGGGTAGGACGGAAAATAATTTACAGAAGCCGATATTCCTAGAAATTAAAACAATAACTGACTTCCGCGGAATTCCTGCTATTACCCTTGAATTTCTACCCTACGTTATTTCTACCAAATGCTTACCTGGCTGGAAAATTACCGCTATTACGGCAACAATTCAGAGCAGCTTCCCCTTCCCGGGAGTCGGCCATGCGCTGTTCTTCCACTGTACCAGGTTCTCGAGCAGCCTGTTCCAGGGCTCTCTGAGAACGCTGGTGGCCTTAGCAAAGCGTGCTAAGGCTTTGAAGAAGAAGAAGAAGAAGAAGGAAAAACATAAACGGAGAAAAAGAAAGGAAAGCACAATTTGCAAAAAATATAAAAGACGGGAAGAAAAAAGGTGAAAACAAAAAAGCAAAGAAAAGGAGAAACATGATCGTTTGAGAAAATAAAAATAGGAGGGAAACAAATGGCAATGGAACGGAAAAAAAAAGGACTCTGCACTTGAGTCTCTCAAATTCTCAACCCGACGATGATCATCACCTTAATGTCGTTGCCTCGAAGTCTCTTCAGTGTGAGGCCTTGCAATTTAATCTGAGAGAAGGAGGGGGAAACAAAAAAAAAGCATTAGTTTGTTAGTATCCTTAGTGCATACTAACTCTTGGACTTTCCTGGATGTACCTGGCCACAATGTGCCATCAAATTCACTCGCACAACCTCTCGGGTTGAGGCTGCCCTACGGGATGTGGATGAATGTGTAAATCATTTTAGTGCCAATTCTCTATGATCTGCTTGCTCTGTCTCACTCAACAACTTGATATTATTTTCTCAGATTCGATGTATAGGGTCTATAGACCTGTGTAGCATGGAGACTGTGTTCGGAGATTTCACAATCGGGGTGCTCAAGTGGGCGTCGCAGCGGAGGAGCCGCTTACTTTTTTTTTTTTTTTTTTTTTTTTTTTTTTTTTTTTAATCTATCCAGTTACCAATCTGAGACATGTGGACAAAATTAGAAGCTGGCGAGCAGCGTGTCGTTGTCCCAGCAAACCGGAAAAGTTATTTTTCTTTACATAATGAATGAATGAGTGAAGGAATGAATGAATGAATGTGTGGCAGACATCCCAAGCATATCAAGTTTTGGACATCGCTGTACGTCATGCACAACATTGGTTTTCATCAAAATAAAGGAGAGTAAGTGGAATAGGAGCAAACGCAGTGGAAGGACGGTTAGCAAACATGTCCTGTCCATCTGATTACACACGTCACTTACGCATCTAATCCTATTTTTATCAACTTACCAATTTGAGACATGGACAAGATTAACTAGACAGATGGACAAGATTAACTAAACTGATAATGAGTATTGAATACTCAATAAGTGGAATAGGAGCACAGTCCTCACACACACACACACACGGAGATAGATAGATAGATAGATAGATAGATAGATAGATAGACAGAGATAGAGATAGATAGATAGATAGATAGAGAGAGAGAGAGAGAGAGAGAGAGAGAGAGAGAGA